AGCTAAAAGGCTGCAGTACAACGATTTTCATCCGTCCTCATCTGGTGAGAACGACAAACAAATCTCTTCACCACGTACTTTCATTCGAAATGAAGTTCCCCCTAATAATTGCTCATAGTCATGACCGGCTTTGCGTACTGACGTTAACACACACAGACACACACAGACACACTAGCGTATTCATGAATTAACCAAACCCCATCTATATCCATCTATATCTTAAATGGTGTTCTCAATGGGTACATATACCATAGAGAAAATGTCTGGTTAGTCTTTTTGACTTAATGCTAACTTGAGACTTTTACAAGAATGAGTCCCAGCTCTGACGATGTTCGTCATATGACGAACGAAATCTCATCCCATCTTTGCCCGAAAAGTCGGGCCAATGCATCAACCTGAACATTGTATTTACGCCAAACGGCTGCAGTAAATCTCGAATCAGCCAACGTCTTCTGTGGAGATTGACCGATGAATCTCTTCATCACCTACTTCTATACGAAAAGAAAGACTGCACATCAATCACAAACACTAAGTCACGAAGGTATGAAGACCAAGATGGTGGTCGCAGTCTCATTTCGTTGTATAGAAGTTGTTTGACCTTGTTTTCACAACTTGGTCATATTGGTAGGAAGACTTAGAGAAACGCACCTTGTCCGGATTCCATTGTACGCATCACAATTTCCAGAGTAGGACCGTGGACGTGGTACATTCCCAGACGTTTCGTCGGCATCGTCAGTGAGTCTCACCATTCTTAGCACCATTCAACAACTCGTCAAAAAGACAAGTGAAGCCCATCCTTTGACCAAACGTGTGCTAAACAGTTGTGGTATCCTCCCTTCTGCCCTGGCCTATTCACATCTCCTATACCCTCCAATCACGACTTCGCTGTCACAATTTTTTACTTGCTTAATTAAATGTGGCACGGTGTGCCCTTTGAGCGGCACTTATGAAAACCCTTCACACTCCACACTGTCATTATCACCCCCTTCACCCTTCTGCTGGGAATGTTGACCAGAATGTGTCATATCGTTACGTAGTCCTTCCATGGGTCCTATCAGACTCTCCCTCTTGCCCCGTAGAATCCGTCTGCTACCTCCCTGGTACACGTATTTCACTCGTGTATACACTCAGCTAAAAAACGAAAATACACAGGCCTAGATAGATAGATATAGAAAGATTTGGCTAATTCTCTTCCATATTAGTCATTATAATTTGACCTGAGTGTATGTGCGTCAGTGTATCTAGGTGTTATACTCTATCAGATGATTAGCAAAGGTTAATGTCAGGTTCTGGTCACCAAGGCCTAATAATCCAAGAGAAAGCCCTGACCGAGCCTTCGTCAGTTCGTAATGGTTGAGATAATGAGATGTTATCTTGTAAGTCAGATTTAGGGTCATTAAGGTTTAATCACCCAAGGGAAGGTATGATTGTGGCTGCCTAATCTCGTACGTATGGTCTGGTTGATGAGCTCAATCTGGCCTGTTGGGCGAGTGTGAGTGAGGTTAGAACGCTCACTGAGCAGACGAGTTGAGTCGCTTTCTTTCGGATGGCTGCTCAACACCGTCTTCCTCTTACAAAGTAGTGCCTACTCAACTTTATTCAACCATTCATCACATTCAACGTATTCTCTCCTATCTTCCTTCTACAGAAGACGTACCACACCATGATACCAGACGGACAGGTGGTTTACTAACCTGACTTACACACGAACAAGCATACATCTCATTATCTCAACCAGAAATACTTACCTACTTACGCAGTCTAGGTCATTAAGTCTTCATAACACGATGTTGGCATCAGGCTTGTTTTAATCATTCCTATTTTATGAACTCTATCGCGTTTAGACATTATAATACAGATACGCATAGGCACTCGAGTAAAATTAACATGACCAACATGAAAGTTTATTAGCCAAACCATTATATATCTGTCTATGCATACACATTTTTGTTTTTTGGTTATGAGTTTATATGAGATATGTCTTCTTGGCTTAGGGTTTGTTAACTTGAGACTTTTACAGAAATGAGTTTCAGCTCCGATGATGTCCGTCATTTGATGGATAAAAGCTCAGCCCGTTTGTACCCGAAATTAGGGCGAATTTCTCGTTGACCGCATCAACCTGGACCCAGCTGCTCTTCGTATCTTAATGTATCTAGTTTCAACTTCACCCAGTCCCTCTCGAATACACTAAATAAGGACTTGATCACTTATGGGCACGAAGAAATTATCTGACATTTTTCTACAATCAAACGGGTTTGCCTGAGGCTGGCGTTTAATTCCGCATAGCCTTGCTCAAAAAAGGTATTCCTACCCTTTAACCGCGAGGCTAAGTAAACTTAATGGCATTTTGGAGCTAATTTCCAGCCAGTTCTTCCTCCTAACAAGTGACCTAAATCTCTTATTTATTATCAACTGGTAGAATTCATATAAAGTAGATTCTGAAGCTGTCAGTAACTCTTTCATAAGGGCTGTGCTCAGCCTAGGCCGAAAAAGTGCCGACGGAAGGATAGTTCAATTTTTTCACAATTATATGATTATTTTTCACCGCCTCATCGAATTTCACATAGCCTTGCCTCCCAAAAGATATGCACATTTGGGACAAGTCAACGTCCCATCCTTCATCATCTGATGCAGCCTGCGTTGACTGAAATTCTCAAAATCCTACTTTAGTCGCTAACTTTTAATTAGCATTTGCGTCGAGTGTTGCAGATTTAAAAAAGGTGAGAGCTTTCTTTTGCAATTAAATGCAGTGAAGTGTGAATCTTAGGGGATTCGAACCATGAGCACACCCGTCCTATTGTGTGCACTGACTAGAACGACTACCAGAGCAAATCACCTGCCCCTTCCCAATGCCCAGATGAAACGGGGGCTTAGTGGGAAATGTGCCCACCTTTTGGCCCACAGCGACTGCGACTGGGACTGCGATTGGGACTGGGACTGGAACTGGGACAGTGAAATCCAATGTCAACTTCAAGTCGTCCTCGCTTCTGAGTCTGGACCTATTCTCGATCAGCACCGACAACTCTCAGGTACCTTTGGTGTGGCAAAACAAACTATTGCTAGGACAACTTAAGTCAAGTTCTGTTGACTTAACGTTGGTCTGAAGTAGGTAAATGATTTGCACCCTGTTCTGAAGAAGACTCTCATGAAACTACAACTCTCATAACAATGAGCAAATTCACGCATACACACACACACATACACACACTTACATTCTTACTTTGCTCAGCATAAGACGACATACCCAACATGTCAATAGTGACCATTTTTCTTCTGCCTAGATGAGTCTGATTGGACCCTCGAAGCCGGCGAAATAGCCCGTGCTGCCATTTGCTCGCTCCACTTCGCCTACGTCTTGACAACAGCCTCTTCCCGGTCTCTTCAGCTGGCGCCTCCTCCCTTCGGAAGCCGGTCAATAAGCTTGTTTTTACTCCTCCTTTGTATAGGAACAATGATAAACTCATAATGCATATCATAATGATGCTATTTGTATTTTGCGGATAAAAGTTGGACAATAAAATCGAGACATTGCGAATCAAGTCAATATTTCAGAGATAATAACCACTGTATCACTTTATCAAAACTAAATGCAGATGGAATTTCCTATCCACCTCAGGCTTCTTTGTTCACTCGCCAAACTGTAATGGAGTCCGACTACTGCTATTGCTTGAATCGAGTCTCGCACGGTGTCCTGGAATCTTCCACTTAACCTAAGAACTTGTGCTAAAGGCACCTGAAGGGACCAGTCCTATTGTCGGTCCGAACGGAGGGATGCATACATACAAGGCATTTACAGCCGCACCACAGACAATAAACTTGGGGATTTTTGTAATAAAAATGGAAGCTTGCATCCGTTCACCTGCACTTCGTCCATCGGAAACAAACCGCTTGGTCCGATTGCAAAATCGAGTTCCAAAATAGTTGAATCATGGATGTGAAGACCAATGTGGTTCAGCATGTGCCATCGTCGTGGTACCTATTCGTTGCATAAAACCGGCTCTACCCTGTTTTTCCAACATGGCTGCATTGTCATAGCGATTTAGATAAGCGTACTTTGTCTGTAGACCTCTGCCATAGTAACCATGATAATTTCCAGAGTCGTAGAAGGAGAAATGTAAGAACTATGATGATAGTGACTTTAATCAACAATAAAGAGGAGAATAGGAAAAATGCTAAGGAGGAAGAGCAAAAACAGCATGAAGAGGATGGTTAAATGAGGAGTTTGGAGGGGAGAGAAAGGAGCAAGAGGAAAAGGATGATGATCTTCATTTTGGTGACAATGATTAAGAGTAGAGGGAGTGGAAATGATAGTAGAAAAAGGTGAAATATTATAGAAGACGATCATATTAAAAGTGAGTAAGTAGAGGAGGATTAGGAAAAATTTTAGGAAGGGATAGAGGAAATT